CTTGAGCTTTTCAACTCTCGAACGTTCAGAGCTCAAATGGTTGTTTACGGCAGTCAAACTGATATGATTTTCACGTATAAGGCGATTATAGGTATCGTCACGCTGCTTCTCAGCATCTGCTTGTCCTTGGATGGCGTCGTTTCGTTCACTATCGAGAATTCGGATTTGCGATTGGTAGCCTTCTATTTGCTCGTAAGATTGATTGAGCCGTTCAGTTAGATCCCGAGCTTCGACTTCCATACGAGTCATTCGAAGCATTGCTTCTCTGAGCTCTTCCTTTACAGTGAGTTCGCGACCAGCTGCTTGAGCAGCTTGCTTTTGGAGCTTTTGCGTCTCCCGCTGGGACGCTTCTAATTCAGTTTTAGCCGTAGCGAGAGAAGCTCTCAATTGACTGTCTTGTAGAGCTGCTGCTGTCGATACGGTAGATGGTTGCTCTCGCAGTGTAGCAATATCTCGTTCAAGTGTAACGACCGTATCCTTGGCAGAGTGTAATTCTACTTTGGCTTGAGACTCGGCTAGTTTAGCGGCAGCGAGTTCCTCATTCGTTTTATCAAGCTGCTTTTGTAGATCCGCCATACTATTATTTACATTCTCAAGCTGTAGCCGAGATTCAGCAAGACTAGTATTTCGTTCATCGACTTCACGTTGGATTTCCGTAGCTTTGATCTCCAGCCATTCAACCTGTTTACGAGTTGCAGCACATTCATGCGTCAAGTTTTCAACTTGTTCACGAGTAGTAGCATTTTCGGTTGTGAGTTGTTCTTTATCCCTCTTCAATTGCTCTTCCGATCGTTGCGATTCCAGCAATTCGGACGCTCGAAGACTGACGTTTGTTGATGTTTGCTGTAATATAGCTTGACATGCTTGGAGCAGTTCCTCAAGCTCTTGTATACGGGCCATATATGTAGCACTAGCAGCTGATGTTCGTGATTGGATGTCTTTAGAGGCTTGGAGCAGTTCTTCGAGCTCTTTTATTCGGGTGGTGTTTGTGGTGACTTTACTGGTAGCTGTATTTACTAGATCTTCCAGCTCCTTGATACGATCTAGATATTGTTGACCTTGCTTTTCACGGTCTTCTCTGTCTTGTGCTTTTA